CTTGATATACATTTATAAGTTATCAACTGTTGCTTGTCTTTCTGTGACTTCTGCAAGTCAGGACAACTCGTTCTGATGGACAGGTGTGCAACTTAGGTAGTAGCTAAAGCTATTCATCAGATTTGCATAGCACTCGTTTGGGTGATCAGACTAGTATATTTTGTTGCAGTAACGAACCTACTTTCGGTTCTATCAATGATTGAGACGCGTCATAATCCTGCTTTTCCTTCTGTCGCACGCGGATAATAACAAGTCTTACATAAGTCACAGTTCTGGGCAGTTCTGTAAGGGTTTATGAGCTGTATTATAGACTCCCTTATCCTAGAGTTGCTTACGTATGCAAAAATGTTATAAAGTCCCCGTAAAGTAGCTGGCGTGTTGACTGTTGATCGTCGTCCTGTGTGCTCTTGGCCTTATTTCCTGACACTCTGATATTAGTCGTTAATTTTCACAATATATTAAGCTTGAAATCCTAATCTACCCAGTTTTTATTAAAAAAAAAATCTGTTTTCAAGCCATCAGCTTGTCTGTATTTGACGCCTCGGTAGAGCAACGCCCCTTGCTGTCTGTTAATTTACCAAAGGCCATTTAAAAGATGGTCGTTTGGTTTTGCCAAATGCCTGTCTCCCGCCATTTTCCACGGCACGGCGTCATGTGTTAAGTTCCTGCGAGCACACATGTTAGTCAGTGTTTTGGTATTAGGCGAATTCCGTCAGTGCCTTTTGACTGACTCTCAGCCCAACCCGAATAGAACTGAATATTACGATCCACAGGTGCTGTCTGTACTTCCAAAGCTCATGTTTTCAGTAATGATACGTTGTTTGTCTTTATTGCTCATTTGGATTTTCAAGTGACCGTTAGTTAACACAAGGTACTTTTTTCAACAGGTTACTCGACGTTTGACCTCACATCCTTGCTTGGTGACTATCCGCGAGGCTGGCGCTATGCGGCACCTTCTGCGTACATCATTAGCCAACAGGCCTGCGACCGAAAAGTACCAAGCCATGGAGCCCGTGCTGGAATTGAATCCTCAACACACTCTCGTTCAGTATCTCTATAAACTGACTTCCACAGACTCACAAGAGGACAAGGTCTTGGCCACTGCCCTCATCGACTGTCTATTTGACAATGCGATGGCTAACGCTGGCCTTCTTGAGGAGGTACGCGAGATGACTGAGCGAACTACGCAGCTGCTCACGCTGCTTGTCCAACGATTTTCCGGGCCGAAGACTACATAACTTCTCCTTTTGAGGCTATTTTGTTTACTTTCCCCCCATTCTTCTTGCCATTTTCTAGTGTCATTGTCTAACCTCCCGGTCTAGTTGCATGTGCAACTTTCATGCTTGTGCTCGAGTGGGTACTTATCTGAACCTGTATAGTAACTCAACTTTTTAAGGACTTATTTGATCTTAAAACTTTTAAAACTACCACTGGTCAAAATTGGCTTGAGTTTTGTTTTTCCTTCTAGTTCTTAGCGGGCATTAATTATCCGCTTTCGAAGACATCCAAACTAGTTGCGTTTGAACTGCGCTACAGTTCCTTCTGACCGCGTCAGCCAACTTAAAAACACCGGCTGGGAGAAAAAGTGCAGCTACCAAGTCAGGTTTTGCGTCTGGCCGAGAATGTATAACTGCAAGCCGTTGTTTTTCAGTTTCAGTTAGGGTAGTTAGTGATACAGCATCCGATAAGCTAGATTTCATGCTGAACTTCTGGAATTCTGCAACTCGATGTGTTATGAAATGTGGTATTTATTGCGAATTTGTACTCGCTTTTGTTATGTCCAGAGGACTGATAGGCAGACGAAGGCAACGGGCCGGTTCTGATAGCAAGAAGTTTTATTCAGGACAGCACAGAGACAGTGGATGATTTAGCTTGTCCACTACAGCCTATTTATAAGGTTGTGGTCCTTCTAGAATAATCCTGGCCTATAGCACGCGACGGGGGTTCTGGCCTGCACGCTGATTTGTACTATCCCACGCTGCGGTCCAGGGGGATGTTTCTAGAGTGTCGGTGCGAGCGAGCGTCACGTGTGCTTGAGGCGCACTCGCGTGTCTGCAGACATGACTCAACTGGTGTGCGCTTCCGGCCGTAGGCTCTGAGTGTGTCGCCGCTCGCGTCCCCGTAACAACTTTGTACGGTGCACTTGTGGTCTCCTGTCTTGTTCGTTGACACCTGTTTTTTTTTTTTCAAGTTCTGGGAAAATTCCCATGTTACGATTGAAA